CATGCTAGCTTGGGTTTGGTATCATATGCTAGCTTGGGTTTGGTATAGCATGCTAGCTTGGGTTTGGTATAGTGCTAGCTTGGGTTTGGTATAGCATGCTAGCTTGGGTTTGGTATCATATGCTAGCTTGGGTTTGGTATAGCATGCTAGCTTGGGTTTGGTATAGTGCTAGCTTGGGTTTGGTATAGTGCTAGCTTGGGTTTGGTATAGCATGCTAGCTTGGGTTTGGTATAGCATGCTAGCTTGGGTTTGGTATAGTGCTAGCTTGGGTTTGGTATAGCATGCTAGCTTGGGTTTGGTATCATATGCTAGCTTGGGTTTGGTATAGCATGCTAGCTTGGGTTTGGTATAGTGCTAGCTTGGGTTTGGTATAGCATGCTAGCTTGGGTTTGGTATCATATGCTAGCTTGGGTTTGGTATAGCATGCTAGCTTGGGTTTGGTATCATATGCTAGCTTGGGTTTGGTATAGCATGCTAGCTTGGGTTTGGTATAGTGCTAGCTTGGGTTTGGTATAGCATGCTAGCTTGGGTTTGGTATAGTGCTAGCTTGGGTTTGGTATAGCATGCTAGCTTGGGTTTGGTATCATATGCTAGCTTGGGTTTGGTATAGCATGCTAGCTTGGGTTTGGTATCATATGCTAGCTTGGGTTTGGTATAGCATGCTAGCTTGGGTTTGGTATAGTGCTAGCTTGGGTTTGGTATAGCATGCTAGCTTGGGTTTGGTATCATATGCTAGCTTGGGTTTGGTATAGCATGCTAGCTTGGGTTTGGTATAGTGCTAGCTTGGGTTTGGTATAGTGCTAGCTTGGGTTTGGTATAGCATGCTAGCTTGGGTTTGGTATAGCATGCTAGCTTGGGTTTGGTATAGTGCTAGCTTGGGTTTGGTATAGCATGCTAGCTTGGGTTTGGTATAGCATGCTAGCTTGGGTTTGGTATAGTACTAGCTTGGGTTTGGTATAGTGCTAGCTTGGGTTTGGTATAGTGCTAGCTTGGGCTTGGTACAGTATGGTAGCTTGAGTTTGGGTTTGACTTCCTCTTTTTAAGAAGACATTGATGCCATCCATCATGGGGGCATTATCTTCTGGCGTCACCTAATTCTAACCCTCCCTAAGGGACTTTACCCTAAAATATCATTATCAAGTGGATTTGGGTGTTTAGTTTTCAACATATCACTGCAATGTACTGCAGTGTACATGAAAAGAACAGGCAGAGGTGATTGCAAAACACAAGCAATATTCCACCTTCATGCTCGGGGTAATGCTAAATACCTTAGTAAAGTCCAAGTCTCTGGCTGAAGACATGGCTCAACAGGTAAGGGGACCTCCAGCCAAATATGAATACCTGAGTTCAGTCCCTAGAGCCCACATGATAGAAGGAGAGGACCGAGTCCCACAAGTTGTCCTCTGACCTCCACACATGTGCTGTGGCACTCCTATATGGTGATACTTTATTTGTATTAAAATGTTATTTGTAGGTTAATAAATAAAGTTGCCTGGGGGTCAGAGCTATTAGCAAGCCATAGGAAAGCAGGGCAGTAGTGGTGTACTCTTGTAATCTCAGCACTTGGTAGGCAGAGCTGGGTAAGTCTCTGGGTGTTCAGGGATACAGCCATTATTGGATACACATGCCTTTAATCAATACCAATCATGGAAAACCTGGAGGCCTATACAGACAGGCCGTGAGGAGGCAGTCATGTGGTTGGGTTTACAACCAATGAGAAGGCAGAACAGGAACTCTATATAAAAAGACTTTAACACAGGGGTAGCTCTGATTCGGAGAGGTAGGACCACCGCAGGAGGAAGGGTAAGGTTTTAGCTCTTAGCTCTGACCTCTTGGCTTTCTTCTTTGCATTGGTTCTGTGTTTCTTATTTAATAAGAAGGTTGGTTACATCTACACTCCTATCCCTACCCAAATAAATGAATAAATGTAATCTAAAAAAACACTAACCCAAATCCTATCTATTCTAAACAGGTAGCAACAGAGAAACTCCAAATGTTGTGTCCTTCTGTAACCACTACCTGTGCCTTCTAGGGGTTTCTGCTGTGCCTTCAGCTAGAAGGACTGCCACTTCTTCCTCTAGCTGCTCCTTGCTTCATCATCATAAACTTCTTTCTTAGGGCTCACTGCATAGACCATTGAAATCCTGTCTTCATTGTTTCTCTCTCCCAAGTAGCCTATAAATACTTACAAATAAGGATATCAAACAAATTCAGGATTGCATGTCCAGAACTTAGTATGACTGAATGGGCCACGTGGCAGAATTCCGAGAATGCATTCACCTCAGTAGATCACACTTTGTAAGTAGGCTGCCACGTGCCCACTACCTGATAGACATTTGTTCCATTATGCAATCAGGCAAGTGACAAGTAACACTGCCTTCTCAAAAAGCATGCCAGTTGAAAGAATGAAAGAAAGGATCTGTTAAACACAAATACACAGAGCATTGTTTAGTTCACTTATAATAATACAACGGCATGGCTTCATCTTTCTGAGCTTTTATAGTTTTACCCAAATAAATAGCAATAATGCCAAAGCTTTAGATCATTAGGAGAAATTAATTAAAAAAATTCTAAGAAGTACTGACTAAATACACAGCATGTGCCACAGTTCACAAAGGCAGCCAACAAATACCTCTTAGGAAAAACAAAACAAGAGTACTTCCAAATTTACAGATTTTAAAGTCCTATATAGGTGTGTTAAAGAGAAATGGGTTCAATAAATGTACCTAATTGATAGAGTCTTTGATTATCCAAAAAAGCAGTTTAGTTTTATTAAAGTACAATTTTTACTCATGGAGAAACTGAGAGATATACTCACTGTCCTTCCAGTGTTTAACATACAGTATATAAAATGGCAGGCTTTTCTTACATGTGTGAGTATGGGCTGAGGCTTATGATGGGGACAGAAAGGACATTTTTAGGCATCAATAGACATCATCATTCTTAGCACCAACTCATAGAGAAACTCCTTACATATAAAGATGAAAAAACATTCCCTTAAATATTTTCCTAAATATTTCCTAAAATAGTTCATGTGTATTCAAGTAACTTAACAAAAGCCTATAGGTAAGAACTGGTAGATAAATTTGGGCTCCACATGTAGCATAATATCCCTACCAGAGGTCTCTGTCATAATGTCCAAAACCTACAAATACTAAGATGAATGTGGAATTAAGGTCGTTATCAACTGATTTTGAGATAGGGAGAAGATCCATTATCCAGGTGGGCACAGCATAGCAACAAGACTTCTTTGTCCCCCTGATGGAAGGAAGGCAGGAGGAAGTGGTAAGAGAGATACAAACGTGATCAATACTAGACTAGCCATAACTGAGCTGGAGGGGAGACAGGAGCTAGGAGCCCATGAATCTAAGAGGCCCTTCGAAGCTAAAAAAAGACAAGGGAACAAATTGTCTCCTAGAACCTCCAAAGAAAACAGGCCCAGCTAGACACCTTGACTTTAGCCTGATGACATCCATTTTATTCTTCTGACTCCACTGTATGATAGTTCTTGGAGTCTTACAGTTCTATAAGATGATGAATTTGTGCTTTAAGTTGATAGTGGTAGCAATGATAAGAAACTACTCATTTAGTATCTTCCTTACAGATGATGTTTAGAGACAAGTTGCTCAAGGTGTATGTCTGGAGGTAGTGGGTGAGGAACAGGCAAAATGACAAGATTTATCAAATGGAAACTGCCTATGTGAATTTCTAAAGGCAGAAGCAATCGACTGTAAGGAAATCTTGGAAACTATTCGTTTTTGTGTGTAAACACATATACTCTTTTCTTTTTACGGAGTTTAGGGCATTCAGGGCCCTAAACACAAGCAAGGGTAGGACCCTTCACAGGCATTCCTCCCCAATTCCAAGCTTTTAACATTCCATGATGTTCTGAGGCAGGAAGTCTCAAAAGTGTGGTCCATCAAAATTCACAAAGAGTGTAAGGAGCAGATGCCTAAGTACCATCTGAGTCAGCGTTTCTGCTAAGTGTAGGGAAGTTCAATTTTAACAAATGAAGATGAGAACAGGGCAGAGAAAATATTATATATTATACTGTTAAAGATCACTACTGAGGGGGCATTTACTAAACATACCAAAAATGACTTAGGTAAATTGTCCCCATTACCCACTCTTTAGGAACCCCAAAGCACCCATTTTACTGTACAAGCTGTGTTTTTGTTTGTTTTGTTTTCTGGGCCTCAGACAGCTTAGAAAGTGTGGGCAATGCCTATTGCACCAGAGGGTGCTAAGAATGATGACTTAAATGTCTAACGATCCCTAAAAATGTCTTCTCTGTCCCCATCCTTAACCCCAGCCCATACTCACACATATAAGAAAGGCCTGCCATTTTATATACTGTATGTTAAATAATGGAAGGACACTGGGTATATCTCCGAATCCAATATCATTACTTAAGAGTAATTTTATGTAAGAGGCTATATTTTATGAATATATATTTTATGAATCTCATGCTATACGTTTTACTTGAAACATACTGGTCATGTCTGTGATTCCGTATTTATAAAGTCTTGTACGTTGCAAAGGAGCCATTAGGCGGAGTAAGATTTAAGGTTTCCCAATAAGGACAGGCCTTTTGAATGAATAAGGATGGGTAATAAGTGTATGGGCAGCTTTATTACGTTAGAGATGAATAAAAAAAACTAAAGGAATCTGACCTGTGACTGAAAAGGGTCTAAAACAGGGTGATTTAAAACAGATCCATCCCCTCTCGGTAACATCAAAATAATCCAAATTCCCAAGCAAGGTCACAGAGAAGCCATATAGCCCTGGTGGCTGGGACCGAGTCAAGCTCTCTCAAGCCTGAGACTGGTCCCTTAACGCAAGCCATAGGCTAAGTCAGAAGACCCGTTCCTGGAGGAGGCTGACGGGAAAGGGAAGACTCGGCACCTACATTCACAAAGCAGGTCCCCAGACAAGAACGCCCCTGATCCAGGCCCATTGCTCAGCTAAAGAGAGAAGTTGAGCGAGCGCCAGCCACTCACCCTGCAGCAGCTGAGTGCCATGAAACCACCTCCAGCTCGCTCCACGGCCGACAGGCCACGCAGCAGCACCCTGAGCCAGGCCCAGGCTTCGACGGCTGCCGAAGCCCAGGAGGTAACGTAGCAGCGGTAGGTCACAGCGCAGCCTCCAGGAGGCGGCCATCTTCCCGGCCTTCTCCGGGACTGCTCGCAGCGCGGATAGATCGACCGTCCCAAGGCCCGCCCAGGCCCCGCCTTGCATGGGCTAGCCCCGCCCACAATGCGCGCTCCGCACCTTAGGACTCGAGGAACAGCCTTCCTAGCACCGCCTCCATGTCCTTCATGGACACGCCCTCTGGCAGGTCTGCGCCGGCGCAGGTTCTCCCAATAGGCGAGGCGCTCTCAGATCCAGCCTCTCGCTCTTGCTCCGCCCCCAGGCTGCCGGCTCAGCCGCTGAATAGCGTTTGTGCGGTACGCTTAGGCCTGCAAAGAACGAGCGGCGGATAACCGAGCGGACTGTCAGAACCATGTCTGGCTGTCACGCTCAAGGAGACTGTTGCTCGCGGCCATGCGGCGTGCAGGTAAGGACAGTGGTCTACGGCACGCGGGGTGGCGCTTCAGGCGCTCCGGATGCCTGATCCCCAGCCCAGTCCGCGCCAGTCCGAGGTCCCTCCTTACCCCTAAGTAGGGCTGCTCAACCTGAACTGTCCCGGCCTGTCTTACTTGACATTATGAAGAAGGAGATCATGGAAATGATTCTTCTTTAGGAAAAATGAGCCCGCAAGGTGCATGGGTTTTTCTTTCAGTTAAGCATGCCACAGTCTTATGGCATGCCTTCTACGTGCTATGAAAATGGTGAAGAACAGAACTAGAAGAATAAATAGTTTCGATACTATGTGATAAGCCACGAAATTACCTCCTTTTATTAGCCTTTCTTCGGGCCAAAGGTCTCAATTAAAAATAAAACACAGGAAACTTTTAGTGCAGATCATTTGTCAACCATTACTGTTCTTGAATAAGTGGCTTTTCCCAAATTCATGAAGAAAACCTTGAAGTTAGGCAAGATTGAGAGGGAGATCTTGCATGTACGACACAGGTCATTGGTGGCCATCCCTAGGCAGGTGTACGAGAAAAGTAAAAGCAATATATCAGAATCATTGCTAAGATGTCTTGATAGCAGAAGTGTTTTATGTCCCCAGATTAGTAAATCTTGGTGAAGGTCATCATAGACATACAGATTTTTTTTTCATCCTAAATATTTTGCCAGATTGGCAAGATAAGCTGCGATCCAAGAGCTGTGATTGAGTTTACCAAGACAGAAAGTAGCCACACACAAAAAAAGAAGCTGAAAGTATTTTTTATAAACAGAAAAAGAGGAAGGTAGTTTTTGTGATTCATGAAAAATGTTACGAATACTTAGCATTTTAGATTGACTCAGATTTTGAGGAAACCCAACAGATAACTCTAAGGCCACCTTGACTGGACATCCTATCACATGTCCCTAGCATTTTCTTGCTGTTTGGAGGTATGGGCTCATCATTAAATTCTGCTTTTTTGAAGGAAACTAGAAAGTCACATTTTGTACGAAATCTCTTGATTTAAAAATATTGCTTGGTTTCTAAGTATTGCACAGATCAAAGAAACAACTTGCTGTAAGTCTGGTTTGGTCCATGTCCTAGTCAGGGATACTATCACTGTGGTGAAACATCATGACCAAAGCAACTTGGGGAGGAAAGTGTTTATTTGGCTTACACTTCACATCACTGTTCATCATTGGAGGAAGGCAGGACAGGAACTCTAACAGGGCAGGAACCTGGAGGCAGGAGCTGATTGATGCAGAGGCCATGGAGGGGTACTGCTTATTGGCTTGCTCCTCATGGCTTGCTTAGCCTGCTTTCTTATAGAACCCAGGACCATCAGTTCAAGGATGGCCCCACCCACAATGGGCTGGGCCCTCCCCCATCAATTGCTAAGAAAATGCCCTGCATTGATCTCATGGAAGCATTTTCTCAATGCAGGCTTCTCCTCTCAGATGACTATAGCTTCTATCAAGTTGACATCAAACTAGCCTGCACAGACACCTAACTGCTTTTTCTCATGGTTAATTTATATGTCTTTTTTTTTTTTTTTATTTTGGTTTTTCGAGACAGGGTTTCTCTGTGTCGTTTTGGTGCCTGTCCTAGATCTTGCACTGTAGACCAGGCTAGCCTCGAACTCACAGAGATCCGCCTGGCTCTGCCTTCTGAGTGCTGGGATCAAAGGCTGCTACCACCACCCGGCCTATATATCTTTTAAGACTTATCTACATGTTACCTGCTTGGAAGTCTTCCCCAGCAGGGCATAAAACAAGCTAGCATAGTCCACAAGATACAAGTTTGAACCCTTTGATATAATGATAGAAGGCTTTTCTTAATGTAAGAAATGTGATCTTAGTTTGTCCAGTGTTTATTGAGCAAAACACTATAGTAGGTATAACTTACCAAGAACATGTTTCTTACTCCTTAGAAAGCCAAACCTGGGGAGAAAACCCAGGAAGGCATCACTTTTATTTTTTTATTTTGCCTTATCTATCATGGTCTCCTATATATAGTGACTGTAAGGTTAGATTTCGTTGGATCTGACCCAGATTGTTCTTTTGCGTCAGAGATAATCAGGAAAGTTATTAACAACACGCAGCACAGCAGAGTTAGAACAGAGACACAGCAGAATTCCCCCTCTTACAGGGTTCTGAAAAAGAGAGAAGGCCCATGTAGTTAATGAGTAGTAGATGTTTGCAGTCAGTTTGCCTCTGATTTCCTGGACTGAGGAGAGGGAAAACATTTGTCCCTCTCTGACTTCAGAATCACAGCAGAGTGCTTGTCATTTCACTATAGCTGTGAGGATGAGAGTCACTGTAGGGGCCTGCTAGCAACTAGGAGGTGGGGGTGGAGGCAGCTGCAGGAGGCCATGACTTAGTCTAAGATCTAGCAGTGACCGTGATTGATCTGTACTAACACTACAACCAAAGGCCATCTGAGTCCCTGCCTCCTGTTGTCCTTGATCTCAGCATTCCGCCAACCTTCACTCAGCCTACCCCCTGGCCATATCTGCCCTGACCAATCCCTATCTGTTCATTACACACGCTTTTCTTTCTCATACCTCTCTGAGTATCCTTTACACTATATGGCAACTAGTGCCTTTCCTTGATTATCTCTTCCCCAAGCTGCTGAGAACTTATAAGAGGGAAGGCTAGGTCAGCTCTCTGAAATGGTGAATCTACACACATGATAGTGTCCTGCCCTGGGTGCTGTCCCTCTGGGGAGCTGCCTTTTGTGCTGTTTTAGGTGGCTAGTCCAGAACCTTACAGTCTCTCTTCATCATCTTCAACAGGCTCCAGGCCTGTTGCCCCTGAAATTGCAATGACAGGAAAAGCTGTTAGATATAAACTTTTCAACTTTAATTTCTTTTTTCCATCTACAGTATAATTTAAAAGTAAAGGAGTGGGGATCTATAGCCGTATTGCCTGGATTCAAATCTTGGCTCTGCCATTAGTATCTGGTATAGTCTTAGACAAGCTCATCTTTTAGTATAGTAGGGTTGGAATTATTCCATACAGTTTTAACAGTCACAGAATAAGCACCCAATAAATGTTGGCAATTCCTATTGTTGATGGTATCATATATTTACATGTGTCTTCATTCTTCCCCTGGTTGAAGGCAATTACCTCCCTGTTCTCCTAATCTCTTCCCCCGCACAAGAGAACCTGTCTATTAGGCCATAGCTCTCCTATGCCTTCAGTCTCTTCTTGTCCTCTAACTCTGCCTCTTAGCATATGCTATCATTTGGATGTGGAATGTCCCCAGAGGCCTATATGGTAAAGGCTTATCCCCTAGGTCTACACCATTTGGAGGTAGAAGCACCTGTACAAAGTGTACAAGGTGGGGACTAGCTCGAGATCCTTGTGTCATTGGCCATGTGACCCCAAAGGGCACGGTACACCCTTTGTACCTTCTCTCTCTTTTTCCTCCTGGCCATTAGGTAAGCCATCTGAGCTACCATGTTCCCGTTACCATGAATACCCTGCACCCCAGCAAAGGCCTAAGTAGTAGACCCAGCTAATCATGGACTGGAACCTGGAATATGGGGCCAAAATAAACCTTTTCTCACATTAATTATCTCAGGTATTTTGTTACAGTGTCTGAAAAATGATTACTACTACATGTAATAGGAAACTGTTTGTATTGACTTTTCCAGTCTGTTTCCTTGTCTAGGACTCCCCACCATAGCAACATTACTGAAAGAGTCTTTAGAATTTTATGCCTGCAAATGTCACTTACTTCTAAATGAAGTAAATGAAACCCACTTTGGTCTGGCTTCCAAATCCAGTTCTTCAAAGTATTTGTTACTTAGGGGGGCAGCAAGATGACTCAGTGGGGAAAAGTACTTGCTGCCAAACCTGACAACCTGAGTTCTGTCTCCAGGACACACATGGTAAGACAGAACCAATTCCTGCAAGTTGTCCTCGGACCACCCAGGTGTCACACACACACACACACACACACACACACACACACACACACACATAACTGAATAACAATTTTGAAAAATGTTCCTTAGGGTAATTAAGGCTAACTAAATTTGCAGACACTCTTGGGCCTCATGAAACCTTCAGCCAGAACCCTGCTGTGCTTCCAAGGAGCTGAATGTCGTTAGGGAATATGCCACACCTATGCTCATTAGTCTCCCATCATCCTGATTATGTCACCCTCCAAAGGGTCCTTACACTGCCAACAGCACTTCTGTTTTCCCCAGCAGTCTCTACTGGGGAAAAGCAGCCCCCTCCCCACAGTGACTACTTTTACCTTTATGTGCATCTCTTGTTGCTCCTGGTGCTTGAGGTCGGGATCAGATATTTCCAGGTTCTTCACTTCTTATTCAAGCAATTGAAATAAAAGTCCACACTGATTTGCAAAAGTCCCCAGGAAATGTTGAAGCAAAGCAATAGAAAAGATCAGAACACACTACAGTGGAGTGATGTTCCTGTGCATGAAGATTCTCAAGGACCCAATTATCAGGCTTCCTTTTCCAGAGTTGGGGGAGATTTGTTACTAAGGGGCATATGAGGGTGGCTCAAATGATTGACAAGTTGGATGATGTCATTTTTCTACTGTGCGTGCCCTTTAGCTTCCTCACTCTTAAGTTTTTCAATCTTCCAAATCCATTTCCGGTGTCACTTCTGCAATTTCACCTCTGAAG